GTGTGAATTCTATTTTAGTTTGTTGCTGGCATTCTCTCGTCTTGCTTATACTGCTGTGGCTCCTAATCTCACACCATGGCTAACCACCAAATTGTTTATGTCTGGGCTAAATCATACAAATACTCCTGTTATGCATTTTTCTAAACGCCCTTATTTATTTTCTTCAGTAAAGTTTTGTGCCACACTGTGGCAGATATGTAGTAGAGCACTGTCCATGGTACTGAAATGACCAAAATAACCTCACAATCATAGTCTCTTTGGATGAAAGTGGCTTTATGAGGACCTGGATGGGAAAACCATGAGAAAATGGCTCAATCACTGAATCAAGACAACACAACTGTGCACATTTATCATGCACAAATGTCTATGGACTCTTTTTTATGAACATATTTGCAAGCCGCCAAATTCAGTCAACTTATTTAGTCATTTGTATTGCCTGTATTAATTTACAACCTTATTAATTGCTTTTAAATATTTAGAACATTTATTCCATTAGCTTTATATCTTAGGGTTTGTTGATTCTCACCCAAATAGCACAGTAAAACATTTTTCTTATACCACACCATAATACTCATGATGGTGCACAATGCAAACGTGTGCTGTGTAGTGTATAATTTTGATACTCTTCAGAATTTCAAAAGATAAAAAACTAATTTCAATCGTTATCTCATCCTACCTCTCTGAACACACATAATACATAAACACACAGCTTCTTGAGATGAGGGGATGCTTATGTCCTCACATTCATATGCTTCTGGTACAGCATAAAGTCATCTGGAATAGAATCTGTGCAATATACAAAAAGGGAGTTAATCTGAGACACTCAAACACTGTATTGAGCTGCATGTTCAAACAGCTGTCAAATTGACCCTCAGATGCTCAGAATGCATCCCAAATCATGCTACTAACCATTGCATCTATAGCCAAGATTAGACCATATGACGTTCTCCTGAGAGAAGCAGAAGATGCCCAGCCGCCCCCCTCTCATAGTTGTGTCTATCAGGACTCCTGAATCTGCCACCAGTGCTGTACCTTCATACAATCTTAATCTACACCATAGACATAGAGAATCCAGTCAAACTCTACACAATTTTTCCAAGTTTTAGTAGTAAGCAGTACTTGTTTTGTGTATCTCTTAAAAGTTTAAAGTCAGATTAGCTCTCACCGTATGTAGCCCACCTGTGGGCGGTGAGTGAGGTGCCAGCCATAGGAAGTTCTGTCCTTCCAACCCACATTCCTTGGGTCCTTCCAGAGCAAAGTAACTTCCCCTGGTGTGTCTCCTGTGTGCCACAGGGCATTACGCAGATACTCACCAGGACCTGTACGAGACTTCACTGCCTGGAAGAGTGAGGTAAAAAGAGAGACTGGGTGATGTATACACTACTTTTATATACTATACTTTTAAAATTAGCAAGATTTGTTTTTAAGGGGAATTAATACTTTTGTTCATCAAGGATGCTGAATAAATTGATAAAATGTGACTTTTAAGATTTTTAAATATTTTAAACTTTCCAGTATATCAAAGAATTCTAAAAAAAACGGTATTTTGTGGTTTCCACAAATATTTTAAGCAGCACAACTGGTTTCAACATTGATACTAAAAATCAGAAATGTTTATTGAGCAGAAAATTAGCATATTAGAATGATATCTGAAGGATCATGTGACACGGAAGACTGGAGTAATGATTCTGAAAATTCAGCTTTGCATCACAGGAATAAATTACATCTTAAATATACTATGTCCCAATCCCATTTTGCTCTCTTTTTCTCCACATTCCTGTCTCACATTCTTAAAAATGCAACACGTTTGACATTTCTGCAATACAATGCTTTATTTATCTGCCACAATAATATACTTTCCTTGCTTTGCTTTTCTCAGCAAGTATTCACATTTAATTGAGATTACACTGCATATCATGTGCATAGTTCGATTACATATTTTAAACAATTTCAATATGTATTTTGCGTTTCCTCTCACCTTAAGCTGTAGTCCAGGCTGAGCTGAGGCTTTGAAAGGTAAATTCTGCCAATATGTCTGTTCTGTCTGTTTCCACAACACCACATAGAAGCTGGAAGAGTCCTGATAGCCAAAGATGAATCCCACATAATCATCATCAGTGGCTGTGTTCACATGGATTGTTCCCTCAAAATCAACACCATTAAATGCTGTGTAGCCTAAATAAAGAATAAAGAGGTTAATACAGCCGTTGAGACACAGAGATGTATATATCAACCTGTTGGAAGTGAAGTAAATGTAAAAATCACAAATGCCAATTTTTATTTTATGGAGTCTCTATGAAAATGTGTTTACGTACGTACCCACAGCCAAACCAGGGTCGCTGTTCATGGTCTGCACAATCTCCATTCCCTAAAAAAAACACCAAAGCTGTTGTACAATACTTCACAGACATTGTCAACAATGTGCACAACAGTGTAGTAAAAGCTCAGAGACTAGCTGATAAAATAAAAGCCCAAAATTATAAAGTAAATGATAATTTAATGATCACCTTATTCAGTACCACCCAGTTGGGGTCGATCTGAGCATCTCCTTCCGGGTCGAGAATGACTGTCTGAAATGCCCTGAAATCTGTCATAGTGACCTCTGCACTTTCAGGGCATGCATCCATCAAGTCAGTCACCTTATCATTGTCAAAGTCTGTCTCACACATGTCACCAACCCCATTAGCTGATGGGAGAGAAGGTACGAAACAAACATGTTCATTTCTAGATTGGATCAGTAAGACAGTAAATAAATATGCTATAGATGTAAGGTGTCTTTGGAAAAGAATACTAGTATACTGGATACTGCATACTATTTTTTTTTTTTATGAAAAGTCTGCGAAACAGCACACATTATGTATGGTCCAGATATCATCTCAGAAATAAAAAGTTGTCATTTGTTTTAATCAAATTGTGTGTGTTCACTCCAGTCAAACTTAATTAACTCCAGAAGTCAGAGATAATACTTTTAGCAGTATGCTAGCATGCTTTTCCAAAATGCAGAATTAAGAATCAGACCATCAGTATCTTTTTGACTGGGGTTGGGAACAAGTCTGCAGTTATCTGGGCCGGGAGGAAGGATATCTGGAATTCCATCATTATCATCATCATCATCACACTCGTCCCCGATGCCATCATTATCTGAGTCCAGCTGAGAACTGTTGGGCACTTCAGGGCAGTTATCCCGCGTGTCCTGATAACCATCACCATCCCTACACACAGAGAATCATTTTCACTAGAGCTTTAAAGAATGAATGACAAGCGGATTTTGCTGAGTAATGAATCTCACCGCAAAAAGAACATTGAAACTGACATACACCAAAAGGAAACTAACTTAAATCAAGTATAACACTTTGAGAACAGTAAAAATCATTATACCTGTTCTTGGGTAAAATAAGTATTTATTTACACAGGTACTTACATGTCCTTGTTTGTATCACATACATCTCCCACCAAATCGTTGTCCATATCTGACTGCAAAAACAGCAAAATATGGAAATGAATCATTGAATTTGAAAAGCAGTGTGGTTGGAGTACCTGTCCCTTTGCCTTCACTGACTCAAGTGCCACTACTTGTTCAAAATCCAATCAACTTTATTTTATATATAATTTATGTGCCTTTTAATAATACTTATGGAAGAAATGTTGTTCTTGGTACATTTAACGTGATGTCATTCAAGTGCTCACCTCTTGTTAGCTCAACAACAGCAGTTTACCCTAACATGAACTACTGTATATGTAGTTATAAAATCAAACATTTCTGATTTAGTGATGGGTCAATCATGAATGATTTGTCTTGAGAAATATGATCAAAGTTTGCTTAAGTAGACGTGTTGTGGAACTTGTACTTCATGTGACAGCATCTAGATTATTGGGGTGCCGCAAGGTTCAGTGCTTGGACCTCTGCTTTTCTCAATATACACAACCTCACTGGGCACTATCATAAAAGCTTCTTCTACTATGACTTCTACACAGATGATACAGTTTTACATCATTCCAACCTGATGACCCCACTAGTTCAGCATGTATCTCTTCCTGCCTTTTTTTAGACATCTCAACCTACATGATGGACCTTCCGCTTTGTCCTTAAAGGCACCCCCTTTTCCCTTCCCTACCATTTTGCGTTAAGTACTTCTCTTTGTCTAACCTGCAATGGATCGTTGACCTCAGGACAGCTGTCGCACGCATCTCCTACACCATCTGCATCTCGGTCTGTCTGCATGGGGTTGGGTATCTTAGGACAGTTATCCAACACGTTAGGGATGCCTGTAAAAAAATAAAGTGGTGAAAACAGACGATGTGGTACAATGCTGTAAAACCACAGAACAGATGAAAGTGAATGGGACTGACCATCTCCATCAATATCATTGTCACAGATGTCTCCCTTGCCATTGCCATCAGTATCAAGCTGATCTCCATTGGGAACGTTGGGGCAGTTATCACAAGCATCGCCATAGGAGTCTGTGTCAGAGTTCTGCTGGTCCTTATTGGGTACCAGACGACAGTTGTCCTGAAAAATTTAAATAGCTACTGCTTAAGAATGTGTCATTATGAAGAACTTGTTTCTACATAAATAAAAAAAGACATTTTGAAGGACATCAGCCAAAGTGAAAACAGTTTGGTATCCAATGATTGTTCAAATATTTTTACAATTCTTCACAACTTGATCAGCAACCTCAACATTTTTAATTCCATCTCCGTCTGCATCCTCGTCACATTGATCACCAATCCCATCTCCATCTGTGTCCTCTTGCCCAGAGTTTGGGGTATTTGCACAGTTGTCCTGCACAGGGATATTCAATTTATTATTATTATTCAAGGAATATTAAATTTTATATGCATATTATACCAAAATTGTTAAGAAATCACAACAGAAATTAAAGTATATGTGTTTTACTGAAGGAAGGCTGTCATCAGTTAAGCAGAAAACCATTCTAAGCAATTAATTGGACAAATTCATGAAAAGTCATGTTATTTTTTTAACGCATAAAACCTACTTGCAATCCAATTTAACAGGTGCTATTTGGACTGCTATTACGCTGCAACATGCAATTCATTCTTAGTGAATTCCCTCCTAAAATCACTGTAAAATGAGTATGTACCGCTCTGCAGTGTTTGTCGTTGTCAATGCATGGAAGAGGCCCATCAGGATAACCATCAATGTCTGAGTCTGGACCACAGGTGTTCCCATTACCTGCCCAGCCAACGTTACACTGCAAGACACAAAATGAAGAGAAAAATCAGCCATTTGGACAATTCTGGGTTGTTCTTTTTGAGCTTTTTTAAAAGAAGCAAATAAGTAATGCAAAACATTACAAGAAAACAAGAATTTGTTGTCTCACTTAAGAGCTGCATGTACTTGTACACAAATGCAAGATTTTGGATTCAACATTTCCAAGTAGGAAATTATCTATCTGGCTTTATTATGAAGTTTTTAGAGTTTTTAGATTCTCACCACACAGGAAATGTCACTGTTGCGGCCCATCATACAGTGTGCATTCACATCACAGGGGTTATAGCCCAGAGTTTCACACGTCCTCCTTGCAAAACAGCCTGCAGTCTGATTACCCACAAATCCAGCTTTACACTGGCCACACTTGAACGATCCCTATAAAAAGAGAGCAGTCAGTTTGGTAGTAGTACATTCATGTTTCATCACTTATGGCTGCTCTGCTTGACTTGCCGATTCTAGTGCTTTTTAATTTATATGCAAATTTTGACAGTTTACTCACCACTGTATTTATACAGACTGAGTTGGGCACACAGGCAACAGAGTGCTCAGCACACTCATCAATATCAACACATTCCTGAAAAAATAAACAACATTCCCACAGTAAAAGCCTATTCACTTCGATGTAAAATTCTGTTGTAATTGAATTTTGATACTTTTTACCTGCTTGTGGCTCTTGGCAAACTCAACACCAACCCCCCTGAGTGTTGGACCAGTGAATCCTATGGGACAGGACTCACAGGTGAAGCCTTTAGCTGTGTTCACACACAACTCTGCAGAAAAACAGGGCTGAGCAGTACACTAGGACAAAGAGAGGTATTGAGAGAATAAGAAAAGTGAAAAATTGTTTTGAATTGTATTGAATGTGCACTTGGTAGTGTATTTCAAATCTTAAAAGTTTATTAAAAATTTACTTAAGATGATATGATATTAATGAAATAAAAGGCCACTTATAGAGAACTTATAGAGAGGACACTTTTATGTTTCTTAACACACCTAAAAGTGCACTTTGTAATAATGTCAAATTAAGTTTTACTTTAAAATACATTTTAAATTTTTACTAAAGCACATGTTAAGTACTTGATTATAATTTTACCGATAATATTCAGTATTACATTTAAAGTTAAAGGGGTCCTATTATGCTTTTTCACTTTTCAACTTTAGTTAGTCTGTAATGTTGCTGTTTGAGCATAAAAAAGATCTGCAAAGTTACAAAGCTCAAAGTCCACTTCAAAAGGAGATGTTTTATTTAACAGAAATCACTTTTCAAAAACTACAACGAACGGCTCGTTTGGACTACAATGCATATTTTCCGGGATTTTTCATAAAACAAAAATCGACGAATGGGACTTAGAGTGGTTACAATCATCCGGGTTTAAATCGCACTCAAATTTATTTGATTTTGACGCAGTATTTACACTGAAGCTGGCAGGCGGCTATGGTAAAGGCCGTGACATTTCCCGACCAGGCGCCGAGTGCTGCCAATCACAGCACACACTGGCCCAGCTAACCAATCACAGTACACCCCCAAAACAAAATCAAGACTTTGTAAAAGAGTATAATAGGACCCCTTTAATATATTTTAAATGTACTAAAATGCAAGTTAATTGTTTCAAATGTCTACTAACATTTAAATATATGAAATACAATTTTCAATAGAAATGACATTAAAGTAAATGTAGTTTTTTTACAGTACATTCAGCAGTAGACTGTATCCATATTTCAAAGAAAATAAAATTATGAAATTACATATAAAGATGTATTTAAGTCCTACTTAAGTGGGTCAAAAAAAGCAAACAAAAATTCAGCTAACTGCATTCAATATAATGTAACAGTATAATTGAATTGCAATGAACAGACAATACAGTGTCGAAACACATTACACTCAATTTGCATATAAGTATACTATAAAGTCCATTAATTCTATAATAAGTACTCTTTTTAAAAGTACTTTTTCACAGGGGCATGACTCAGGTAATAAAATGAAAAATAATAATAATAATAATAATATGCTGTCTGCAGGAACCTCATCAATGTCCTGGCAGTGTGTTCCGTTTCCAGTCATGCCCTCTGGACAGGGGCCGCACTGATATCCTGGGTACATCGTGCTCTCCATGCAGCTCACAGCGTTATAGCAGGGGTTAGGATGACATCGGGACTGAGGCTCATGGAATCCTGATAAACAGAGAGAGACACACATACAGATTACCCTTATATCACAACAATCTTCAGACATGTTTATCAAAACATGATCTGCCATCTCCAAGCTCTTACTCCATCCCTTACCACACACTTGACATTCAAGAATAGTGTTTCTGATGAGAGACATCTCTTTTGTCTGAAAACACATCAAAGTAGAAAGAATTAAATTTGATAAAATGCAATGTCCCAATTAAAAACAGAAGTATGTAATAAAATATATATCCTCCAATCCAAGCGTAATATGCAGAGACAACTATAGTTAAGTGATTTGTGAAAACTATTCCTGTGAGCCACATAATCTCATATTCAATTATAGGGCTGATGAAGACATCTAAGCCTGTTCCTATTTTCATCCTCATTCATTCATTCCTCTCTCTATGGTGTTCTCTTACCTGTTCTCTGATATCCTCTCTCAGCTCTCCCATGATCTGGTTAAAGATGATCAACTGTCCGATCAGAGCTTTGGTGTGATCACCTGGCCACATTATTATCACAGAAAAGCATTACAGACATGAAAATAATTCAGCTGTAATACATTCACATATGATTGAATCTTTGTTAATATTTACCGAGGATGGCATTAATGTCACTGCCTACTGTAAAGAAACAACAGTCACATTTTATCGAAAGTTTCTAGTTCAAAAACAAATAAATATATTTATACTTCTGATCAAACATTTGGGGTTGGTAAGAGTTTTTTTAATGTTTTTGAAAGAAGTCTTTCATGTTCACCAAGGTGGCATTTATTTGATCAAAAACACAGTAAAACAGCAATATTTTAAAATATTGTTACAATTTGAAATAGCTGTTTTCTATGTGAATATGCTGTAAAATGTAATTTATTTCTGTTATGCTAAAGTTGAATTTTCAGCATCGTTACTCCAGTGTCACATGATCTTTCAGAAATCATTCTAATATGATGATTTGCTACTCAAGAAACATTTATGCTTATTATCAATGTTGAAAACAGTTGTTATGCTGCTTCATATTTTTGTGGCAACTGTGACACTTTTTCCAGGATTCTTTGAATCAAAAGAACATTATTTATTTTAAATTGAAATATTTTCTAACATAATAAATATCTTTACTGTCACTTTGATCCATTTTAAAGCATCCTTGCTTAATAAGAGTATTAAAAAATCCTACTGACCCCAAACTTTTTTCTACAGTTTTCTACAGTTTTTCCTCATTTTCAAAATGTATGAATTGTTTGTAGGAATAATATCTGTGGAATTTCTGCATTGCCACAAGAGGGCAGTATGATGACATGACACTGTTCGTAATGGAATATTATACTGAGCAGAATGTATTTTTAAATACAGTGTGTGAAAAACATTACAAGTTCTCCTTATGCTGTCAGAATAGTGCTTACCTGCATTGCTTATAGCTGAATCTCCTTGGAATGGACAGTCAATGAGAAGACCAGCTGTAGCGAGAGAGCCTCCGAGAGCTAGTTTAACAGACTCTATTGAACCCTAAAATATATACATATATGAAACATATTCAATACTAGCACATTTACATGCTTCCTCATCCCTCTTCTTACACACTTTAACACACTGACCTTCACACAGGCTAATTGACACCTATCATTTAAACAGAGCAGTGAGTCAGGTGATGCAAAATCAAACATCCATGGTCTGTTACAACAACGGTTGTACTAAACACATTTACTAGGATGTCTGCACAACTTTGCATATGTATATTGAAGACAACACTAATTAGATATTTACATTGGTTCATACAAATCTCTATGCTAGGTTGTGAGTGGTGGCAAAGGCAAATGGATTTGATTTAAAAGAGCCCACCTCTGAGTTTCTATGATATTTTGGTCTGTATGGCTCGAGTTGCTCTTTTTAAGTCTATGAGACTTTTCTAACCAGTTTTACTGTCTGCCAGCTCAAATAATTAAGTCACTTAAAAAGCACAAATCACACAATTTGAAATATCATTTATGAGGTGTGCATCTACTGTAAAGGGATAGTTCACCCAAAAATTAAAATTCTGTAATTTACTCGTTCATCCACTGAAATTCCACATAAACAAAATGGTCACACATTAAAAAGCACAAAAAGCTATTTTAGCGTACAGCATAATCCACATAAAGCCTAATCCATATTAGTGGCCTCTGAAGATGTATGACTAAAAGTCTAAATTAGATCTGTTCGTCATATAAAGTGATCTCTTTAGACTTGGATTAAACTGCTCAATTCTTATGGATTATGTTAACAATGTCTTTATAATATCAATGAACATTTTAAGTTTTAGTTGTGTGGACTTTCAATGGAAGGACAGAAATCTTTCAGGTTTCACTAAAAATATCTTCATTTGTGTTTTTCGAAAAGATGAACAAAGTCTTATAGGTTTGGAACATAAAGTATCATGACATAAACTATCCCTTTAAATTTGCTGTACAGTTACTTTGACTCACATTGACTGCATGACAAAAAAACGATCATTAATTGTTGACCTAAATGAATCACCTGTATCCTGGCATAAGATTTCTGTCCGGTGCGAACATCCAAATATTCTGCCTTTGATGGAAGCCCGACAAATGAAGGGAGGCCCTGAGCAGAGTCCACCAAACGGCAGTTTACGTAAAGCTCTAGGTTTATGTGACTGCGTCTCAGTCCACTCATTCTGAGTATAAGTGATTGGGTGCGTCCCTCAGCGAGGACTGGGTTTTGTAAATTGACAGCATGAGCTTTTCCATCAGAGCACAAGTATCGAACCAGTACTGAGGAGAGAAAGGAGAAGTGATCTTTCCAAAGACATGAATCATAAGCAAATATCGACTTATAGAGCACCTAATGACATTTGAGGAAATGTTAGCAAATGACCCAAAAAGAGCTTACATTTGTTGATATTGCCTACAACAGCAACCTCCAGGTATTTCTTGTTGTCCTCTTTATCATAGAGACCGAACAATACGCCGCTGAGTTTGGGTGGCAGCATGAAGGTGGAGGTGATGTACAGATCTCCTACCGTCTGCAGCGCTCCAGACAGACTCTCTATAGCTGCAGCTGTCTGACGTGCATCATGGAGCTCCAATACATTAATCACTGGAAGAAAGAGTATAGATTTTAAGGCTAAATCACATGCGCAGATAACCTGTGCAGTAACATGTATGATTTTATGAACGAGAAACTTTTGGAGAATGCTTGAAAACACAAATGTGGACGGAGAGTGTTTTGAAATCAGGCTTCAAATCCAGACTAATGTTAATTACTGCATTTAGATTAATATATAGGCATAGTATATTTGTTTGCTTCAGGCCGGTATTACTATATAGACAAATAGTCTGAATAGTAATAGTCTACCTTTTTCAACTAACTAGTAAAGTAACACATTACTTTTTAATCTACAGTTACTTTGTCAAATAAGCAACTCCAGTTACTTTGTTTTCCCGTTTATTGACTGACATGTGAACGTGATATATCAAAATGAATAAAAACTGTGAAATGCAAACTCAGAATGACATAAACCTGTCATAACTAAATATGTTAAATAACATATATATCCTTTATGTATTTAATCCTATTTGTCTTTGCTGCTGACCTCCGATTATCCAATTCTACCACATGAATAAGCAAAAATTTAGATTTGTAAGACTTTACATAAGCATAACATTTGTGTTTCACTCTTTTATTGCTGAAGAGTGTTGAACTTTCTTCTCCTGCGTCCTATTATTATATAACCTAACATGGTGATTTTTGGCTTCTCTCTAAACTGTACAGAGTTGTTGACTTTTAAGCAAGTGACCTTTTTCAAGTTACGGGAAATAATAATTAGAAAATTATTTGATTTGATTATAGGCCTATTATATTCATGCTGCAATGCATGCTGGGAACTCACAAACTCTTAACATTTCAGTATATTGTTCAATCTGAAATTCTTTGTTCAGAAACCTTTGACTAGTTGGGATAACTTTTGGGGGATTCTGTTGGTGAAACATGGGCTCTTATGTAATTTCATGTTCTTAGTATTTATGACTTAAAAGGTCCCATAAACTGGAAAATATGTAGCCTAGTTACTTTTACAGTGCAAGCCACAAACTAAACTGAAGCTGGCTCTATTCCTCTAGATAAAGGATATTTTACCTTTATTTCTTGTCCCTATAGTTCTACTGGTAGGCTATATCAGTGGTTCCCAACCCTGGTCCTGGAGGCACCCCAACACTGCACGTTTTGCATGTCTACTTAATCAAACACACCTGATTCAGGTCATCAGCTCATTAGTAGAGACTCCAAGATTTGAAATTGGTGTGTCAGAGAAAGGAGACATGCAAAATGTGCAGTGTTGGGGTGCCTCAAGGACCAGGGTTGGGAACCACTGGGCTATATGCAAAGCTCGTTAATGGAAGGAGGCACATTCTTATTTTTACTTAATTGTTTTTATAAATATTTCTCTATATAAACATCATTCAGTCAATTATTTCTTGTGCAAATTAGTTTTTTTTATATATATGTATAACATTTTACATTTATATGCACTTTCATTCGAGGAAAGATGTGCAATAAAAAATTAACCAGAGTTACATGCCATAATAACAAATGTCCATTAAAGAGGCAAATGTCCATATCTAGGGGGCATATATTGCCCCTTAATAAATAGTTCATTTCTGACAATCAATGTTTGTATGGATAACAGCTTCCATTTACATGTCATTATCTCATTGTTCGAGCACTGAGGGAAGCATGAAATGAGACAATAAAGGACAATTTGGGTTATGAATTAATGGTTTAACAGCACAACAACTAACCAGATGACCACTTGGTCACCAAGAATGTGAGAGCAATGAACTTAGCCTACACCATCACTTCATTGTCAAAACGAACTTAAGAAAAGCAGCGTTACAGTCCAATGGAAATAACAACAACATTCAAATCATATTACATTTTAATATGTAGCCTACTGTATGATTTAAAATAAAAAGGCCACCTTTAAATTCCGACGATTCGGAGAAGTGTCCAAACGCAACGTACAGGACAAGCAGATTTGGCACAATTTTCCTCAACTCCATCCTCTTGAACCAAATCCAGCAGATATTGTTTAATGACCCGATTAGAATATAATCCAGTTAAATTCCCGTTTCCCAAAGACGCGACCAGCTTCCAAGAGCCTCATAACATCACATAACCCCGCTGAGTCTCTGTGACCTGAACGGCCCGGGGCTCAAAGTGTCTGGAGGCTCCTCCGAGGCTCTGCAGCGCTCCACACTTTCTGTCCCAAATGAGAAACAGAAGTTGAGCAGCAGCGACGGCAGGGGAGAGATAACGAGCCTTGTCTATCAACTCACAAGTATTTACTGCGGCTCTCTCCCGCTGCGCCTTCAGTTCATACTGCACTGAGCTCCTCTTGGATTGAATTTCACCGCACAAATGAAAATATCTTTCAAAGTTTTTGTTTCTGAGACTAAAAATAAATCTACCGAGTTTGGGTTTTGTGAATGAAGCATATACTACGCCCAGAGTACAAAATAAAGCTATGAGAAAGCTTTTGAGATAATTTAGAGGGCGGGATCCGTTGGTGCTCAATTCGCTTGTCTTATTTAGTCTATTAATTAATTATAGTGTGCTTCCTTGCTTGTGTTTTAAATTGGTTAATGACATTAAACTTATTTTGTCAATGTTTTGTAGCGTCTGGTAAACGCAAACTTCCCTTCAGCATTGGCGTTTGTTTGGCGCCAAAAAAACACGCTTTGACTAACTTGTAAATGTGACCCTGGACCATAAAACCATCATAAGGGTCAATTTTTTGAAATTGAGATTTATCTGAACATAAAAGCTGAATAAATAAGCTTTCCATTGGTGTATGGTTTTAGAATGGGACAATATTTGGCTGAGATACAACTATTTGAAAATCTGAGGGTGCCAAAAAAAAAAAAAAAATCTAATTATTGAGAAATTCGCCTTAAAAGTTGTCAAAATTAAGTTCTCAGCAATGCATAGTCTATTACCCTGCTGAAAAAAAACAGCATATGCTGGTTAGGTATGTTTTGACGCTGGGATGCTGGTTTAAGCTGGTCCTTTGCTGGTTTATGCTGGTCCTTTGCTGGTTTAAACTGGTCCTTTGCTGGTTTAAGCTGGTCCTTTGCTGGTTTATGCTGGTCCTTTGCTGGTTTAAACTGGTCCTTTGCTGGTTTAAGCTGGTCCTTTGCTGGTTTATGCTGGTCCTTTGCTGGTTTAAACTGGTCCTTTGCTGGTTTAAGCTGGTCCTTTGCTGGTTTATGCTGGTCCTTTGCTGGTTTAAACTGGTCCTTTGCTGGTTTAAGCTGGTCCTTTGCTGGTTTATGCTGGTCCTTTGCTGGTTTAAACTGGTCCTTTGCTGGTTTAAGCTGGTCCTTTGCTGGTTTATGCTGGTCCTTTTGCTGGTTTATGCTGGTCATGTGCTGGCAAAGGACCAGCTTAAACCAGCATCCCAGCGTCAAAACATACCTAACCAGCATATGCTGGTTTTTTCAACAGGGTACTAATCAAACATTAAGTTTTGATGTTCACTGTAGGAAAGTTTAAAAATATCTTCAAGGAACATGGTCTTTACTAAGTGAATGAATGAAAACACAACAACTTAGTGGTTAGCAGAGCTGGGTGTAACCAGTGTTGGGAAGGTTACTTTGGAAATGTAATAGGTTACAGATTACAAGTTACCCTACTTAAAATGTAATAAGTAGTGTAACTTTTCAATTACTTTTAATCCCCCAGAATCCTAAACTGTCTCAATTATCAAGCCGTTTTGATTTTCTGTGCAGTATGATGTCATATTGTTCAGGCCCCGCCCACAACCGCTGAAGTACTGTCCAATATGAGCATATTTTCGCCCTCAGCCAGTTGTACGAGGTCCATCATTTTCTCCAAGCTCCAGCAGCTGTAGCGACAATGTCTTGTAAGCAACGCAGGGTTTTGTAGTTTTGTGATGTAGAGGAACATAAGAATCTTAATTTTCTCCCGACATCAGAGCCACTGAGGACGCAGTGCATTAGTTTTGTTTTTAATGGTAATGCGCCACTGGATACACCTAAATTAATTTATGTCTGGGCAAATAATTTTACTCCAGACTGCTTTCTGAACGAGGGACAATTTAAGGCATGTTTTGTTAAAAAGTTAAAACTCAAGGATAGATCAGTACCCCATGTTCGTGATCCAGCTGCACCTCCAGAAGTAAGTCTGACACTATATATGTTTTATGATTATTTGCAAATCACCTTTGCTCTTCCACAGAAGAAAGGGGCGGGTGAGCAGAGCTCATTAGCATTTAACGGGACATGCCCCAAAACGAGTCGCAAGGTAAAAAGGGTGTTGTTTTACACGACCACTGAGGAATTTTAACCAAAGTTTGTTGCAGATCGTTCATGAAGACCCTAAAGAATCATACCAACTTGTGGAAGATCAATGTCCCCTTTGAAGCACAGCCACCACAAAATCAGACTTACTTTGAGATCATTCTGAGGTTAAATACATATTTAAAATCATAACAAGAAATATTTTATTAGCTATGATACCGTTTTTTAAATCAAATCTTTACATAGCTATGACAGTAAACACTGCTATGTAAAGATCTGATTTCAAAAACGGTATCATAGTTAATAAAATATTGACAATGCCTTGGGGAAAAAAAACAGTTAATCTTTAAAAAATTAAGCATAGCTATACATAAACCCATATAGGAAATAAGAGTTATCGAATAAGCATGTTCTAAACTCCTGAAACATTGGTGTTTCATATTTTAGAGCAGTCACTGCAATTTATGAAAGAAATCAATTAAATCTGTATGTGGGGGTGTGTGTGGAAAAAAAATCAGATGTAACCCCCTTTGTAATCCTTAACATTTTCAGAAGTAACTGTAATTTAATTACACATTTTTTCTCAGTAAACTGTAACTGATTACAATTACTTTTATTTTGTAATTAAATTACGTAATTCCGTTACATGTAACTAGTTACTCCCCAACACTGGTAGTAACTGATTACATGTAATCTGGATTACATAATCAGATTCCAAAAATTAAGTAATTGTAATTACATTAAATTACATTTTTAAAATACTCGTAATCAGAGTACAGTTACTTTTTTATGTATTGCATGATTACATATTATTTACACAATAGCAATAAATTATTCATAATTTATTGATTCTCCTTAATTCCTCTTTTTCACCTTTTAAATGTTCCTTTCTAAAATAGCCTGCCACTTATATACACTCAGAAAGTCTTCCAGTTTTGTGGACATTCACACAGAGACCAGTCACTAGTCAGGTGGCTAAACATTTGACCACTGGATTTATAAAAATAATTTCAGGTTTAAGAAGTGTTTCAACGTTGCATCAACTATGAACACATTAATTTTTCTCTGTAGGTTATTTAACCATGTATTACTACGTCTTTGGAAGGCTTTTGTCTTTCAAACACATTAAAATGCACAAATTCACAAACTTTTTTGTCATCTGATCCTCTTTCACCTAATATATTTACTTGAAGTACACCTGAGATATTAAAATAAATATTAAAAAAATTAAGCATCACATTTGCATGTTCATTGGTTCTCTGATGTTGGTTATGGTCATATGACATGTAGGTAAACAAATAAAATATTTCATTTTCTCAGTAAGTTTTTTTATTTTGATTGATTTTAAAATTATTTAACATTTTTATGATTTAATTAAAGCCCGTTCAGTTCCTTCACAAACCTCAGTTTGGGAAACTTTGACCTAATGTAATGTTTAATGTACTTCATGTTGTCAATAACAACAAATGGAATATATTTTCCTACTTTCTTTCTTTATATTTTTATATCAATATAGCCAATATAGTACAATTTTGTCCTATTTAAATCAATGTAATAAACGAGTTAGGTCAAAAGTAATCTAAAAATAATCTAAAAGTAGTCTGATTATATTACCTAAAATGTGTAATAGTTACTAACTACAATTTTTGTCATGTAATTTGGAATCAGTAACGGATTACAATTTGTAAGTAATCTACCCAGCTCTGGTGGTTAGCCATCAATTAAAACGTTGTAGTATTTTAACAGGGATGTTGCTAGCTAGGAGGCCCAATGTACAAGGGGTCCAGAAAACCTAGCAACTGCATTTTAGGACTTTTTTTTTTTTTTCGGGACGGGGCAGAGACAAGTGTGTGTATATTCTTGACTTGACTAATTTGGAAATGCCTAAATGTAATTACATTACAAACCTTATTGGATGAATCTGCATATGCTGTATGGACATATGAACATAGGTGTCCTATTAGTCACCACATCCACTAAAATCTGCAAGCCAGAAGGTCATCAAATAGCCTACCTTTTACCCTTTTTTTTATAATTTGAAACCTAACAAACTTTATGAAATATGCTCCTTTGAGTGTTCTCCTTCTGTATCTCCTTCTGTAAAACATGTGCCACTTAGTTTAAGATTCAACGCAACTTCCTAATCATGACAAAAATGTAGTAACAGCTTTGCCATTGATTGGTTCAACCAAACAGAGTAACCTTGGTTGACCCACCGCAGCGGTAGCTATACTGACATTTGAAACACTCTCACGTTACATACAAAACACAGACATCTCAAAACTCAAACTAAATGTTGAACTTGACACTAAACAGCAGCATAATTGGAACAAGCCTACCAGAAAGAATTTCGATCAAGATACATCCTAAGATTATAGACCAATAATAAAGTTAAACACATGCAAGCTGTGTAAACAACCCTCTTATCCTATGATATCGAACACACTGATGACCTGATTCTTGTTCTTAATGCTGAAAGAATCCAGAAAAGACTTCCAACTGAGTGCTTTGTTGTTATAACTGTTAAATACTGTACAGTACCTTTTTATTATTTATAGACTAAATACAGAAGATGAACAGCATGTACCAAACCAAACACTGCGCAATAAATGTGGGATCCTGTCATGATTTAACAGTTGCGCCAGTGACTGACAGTAAAGTTGTTTTGTGGAAAGCTCTTTGAGAAGGTTCAGCCCAGTGAGACATAGGGCAGGTCTGGCCTCAGAGAAACACAATGGACGACCCCAGTGTGCCTTGGGTTTCTATTGAGAGACTGGGACAGCTGTATAATGGCCACAGACTCTGACTTAACTGCAATGTTTGGCATGAAATAATAAAGTTCTCCTCAGCAGTTCTCAGGAGAGCTTTAAAATCTGGCTGATTTATAAAGCTTTGAGTCTCGAGAGGTCAAAGAGCTCCTAGATGGTTAAGATAAG